GTGCCCACAGGGAAGTCATCTGAAGATGTAGTACATTGAACCAGGTGTGGTACACTTTTGGAAGCCTTGCTAACCAAGAAGCTGAGATAGGAGTTGCAGGCCTGCCTGGACGGCATATTGAAAACTTAGCTCAAAAGAATAAGAAGTTGCATTCAGCAAAAGGCCGTAGGGGATGCGTCTAAGGTATTTTTCAAAACCCCATGGAAACTATACCTTTTGTATGGGGGGGGGGGGATGTCTCACTAGGTAGAGCAGGCTAGCCTCAGATTCCCAGAGATCCTTCTGCCTCTGCTTCCTAGATATTGGGATTAAAGGCGTGAACCACTATGGCTGGCCTTGCTCTTTGCTGGCCCAGTATTGGACCTCAGTGTTGGCATTCCAGGTGTGTTGTGAATGACCCAGTACTCCAGGGCTTTAATGTCAAAGTCATCCAGGCAGCTTCCCAAGGATTTGCTCTGGAAGAATAGTTGACAGTGCTAATACCTGGCTCCTCCTGAGCAGCTGTCATTTGTGTGTGTGTGTGTGGGGGGGGGGTTACTTTTGACATTGGTGAGAATTAGATTTCCCAAGCCTTTTTACTCGTAATTTTCTATTTCTGCTATCCTTCAGTCACTGACAGAAACTTGAGTTAGGGTTAGGGGTTCGGAGCCCCCTCCCCTCCACTGCTGCAGGTTTAAGCCAGCATTTTCCCATGATTCCAGGCTGGCACACTTGCCTATGCTCCATCTCCACCATCTTAGTTTTTTTTTAAGTAGGACACAAGCTCTGAAGGACAGGGACTTACACTTACTATGTTTTCTAGTTGCTGAGAAGGTAGTCTTTGATGACCTTCACATTATAGGCGAAGGGGCCATTTGGAGGGGACACCAAGTCCTAGCACCCAGGAGGCAGAGCCAGACAGATCTCTGGGAGTTTCAGTTCAGCCAAGGCTAACCTCAGTGGGAGTTGTGTCCAAAAGGGAGTGTGTGTGTGTGTGTGTGGGGGGGGCAATTCAATGATAGAGTTAAACAGCTCCCAGTGTCAGGCTCTGTATGCCCCATGGCGAATAGTCGTTGTACCTTGATTGAGCCCTTTTTGAACACTACTAGATTTTCCCCACTTGAAACAAAACTAATCAAAAAGGCTTTGATGCCAGGTAACCCTGCCTCTAAGCCCGAAGGATCTGAGTTCAATCCCTGGAACCTAAATGAAGGAAGGAAGGAAGGACCGACTTCTACAAAGCCATCCTTAAACCCCACAGACACTACATGTGGGAATATGTGCATCCACGCGTGTTTATGCACGAATGAAGAGACGGAAGTTCAGAGCTCGTGGTGAGGGCTCAGTTCAGGTGTGTCCACACAACAGCTAGAAACCATCTGCTTCTAGCACCCTCCTGGCACCTTCAGGCACCACACACACAGTGTGCATACATGTAGCAGAAACACAACATGTGAAAATATTTAGGGGCCTGGAGAACTCCAACTCCAAAGGACCCAATACCCATATCTGACCTCTAAAGATACCTATACTCAGGTGTGCACAACTAAAAATTGAATTAAGTTTTAAAGATTAAAATTTTTTTAAGTTTCAAAAGTATCTTTTAATATAGTTAAATTGTGTGTGTGTATCCATGTCTGGTGTTATGGATGCCATGATATTCTTCGGGAACTGGAGTTAAAGGAGGCTGTGGGCTGCCATATAAGTGCTGGGAACCAAACCTGAATTCTGAGAATAGAAGTGCTCTTAAACACTGAACCATATCCCCTCCTGACTTCAGTTGTCTTTTTTTGTTTGTTTGTTTTTGTTTTTTTGAGATTGCAAAATTGTCTCTGGTTGTCCTGGAATTTAATTTGTAGACCTAGCTGGCTTTGAACTCACAAAGATCCTTCTGCCTCTACTCCCCACCCTCAGTGCTACCACTATGCCCAGCTGCTTTAAGTTTTTAAGTTTTTTTTTTTTTTTCTTCCTGAGACAGGGTTTCTCTGTGGTTTGGAGGCTGTCCTGGAATTAGCTTTTGTAGGCCAGGTTGGCCTCGAACTTAAGTTTAGGGGGAAAAATAAATGGCCTTTTTGGTGCTGAGGATGCTGGGCAAGTGTTTTCCTACTGAGCCATGCCCCCAACCTTCTTGTACTTTTTGAGGCAGAGTCTCTCCAAGTCTCCCAGGCTTGTGTTGAACCTGCTCTGTTGCTGAGGCGGGCCATGAACTTTCCGCCCTCCATCCTTTGCCTCCTTAGTGGCCCAGATGGTGGGTCTGCCCCCTGGCTACTTCCTTTGCTTCCAGCAGACTTGTTAGAGCCTAAGGTTTTCCCTCTAACTTAGTTTTCACTGGCAGAGACCACAGAGACTGCTCAGATGTGGTTGAGTTACTCTAGCTAAAGGTTCCCGTTGGCCTTGCATAATCTCCATGTTGCAGTTGGTGGCAAGGAGACAAACTCTCTCCATAATGGCCCACTGCTACTTCTGGGCTCTGCAGCCAGAAGTCCTGTGTGGCAAGAGCAGAGCCAGTGGTGTAGTATGCTGATGAGGTCACCAGAGCTTTAAATAGCGCCAGGCTCTTGAAATAAGGACAGCATGATTTAGGGCAAAGGCCAGAACTGGATCTCCATGACTGCAGGCACTTGAGCTGTTCTGGCATCTGTGACAGTGGTTGGGTTGCACTACAGCAGGGCATAAGTTTCTGCAGAGACCTGAGACAGGCCAGGGACTGGTGGCCCAAGAGCCTCAGAGAGCTGTGTCCCAGTCTTTGTGAGGAGTTTGTTCTTTACAGGCTGCTTCACGGAAGGAAGTGTCAGGCCAGAGAGACACTCCATCCAGGAAGATGGATGGTAGAGGTGGCTGCTGACGGCGCTGTGGGATGCCGGTGCTGAATAAAGGTTATAAGATGCAAGGCCTCCACCCTCACCTGCAGCGCATACGGTGTCTGCATGGGTGCTTTAAGCGCTGCATGGTGGCTCAAGCATCTAATTCCACCGTGTTTTGTTTTTGCTTGTATTTGAGACAAGGTTTTTCTGTGTAGCCTTGGCTGTCCTGGAACTCTCTGTAGACCCAGGCTGGTCTCGAACTCTGCCTCTGCCTCCCAAGTGCTGGGATTAAAGGAGTTTACCACCACCTCTCTGGCTAAGGGCTATGCTGTAGTGAGACCTTGTCCTTCCCCCCAAAAAGCCTCAAACACCTGAGGATAGCCCATGAACATGTATGTTTTTTTATGAATGGTAGTCAGTTGGAATATAGCTCAGTGGATAGAGGGCTAGCTTAGCACGCCAGAGGCCTTAGGTTCGCTCCCCAAGACCACCCAAAATGTATGGCGACACAGAAAAAGCAGTCAAGACCGAGTGAAGCAGAACAGCTTATTCCAACCATAGAGAGGCTAAAGCAGAGGAATCCAGAGTCTAAGGACAGCTGTCCTGATTGACTTTTGGTTTTTGGGTTTTTTGTTTGTTTTGGTTTTTGCTTTGTCAACTTGACACAAGCTAGAATCATCTATGGGCAAGGCTTTGGGAGGATGCAGTCCACTGTGGGCAGTCCCAACACTTGTCAGGGGGTGGATGGTGTAAGAAAGTGGCTGAGTAAGTCAGAGAGCAAGCCAGGAAGCAGGGCTAACCCATGGCTTCTGCCTCCAGCTTCCTGCCTGCCTTCCCCCTGAAATGGAGTGTGGCCTGCTTTTGGTTATGTGTCTGTCATAGCACCAGGCACCTAACTGATATGTCAGCCTGTATCTGTCAGGGTGGTGTTGGCACAGGGGAGTAGCCATTACAGCAGAGAGTGTGTCTTGCTTGATTTCCTTCTTCTCTGAGCCCTAGCAGAACCACAGCCTTCCTTCCCTCTTGCCTGTGCTGGGATGAGGAAGGTCAGAGGTTAACTTCACTTGCTGCGCTTGCGCTTGTGTGCTTGCAGCCCTAGGTTCCGGTGCCAAGTGGCTGCTTCTCTGGTCCCTTCTTATTTTTCCCGGTGCTGCAAGTTGAACCTAGAGCAGGAGAATAACACTCTCCTGCTTAGCTGCAGCCCTAGCTCTGGGGGGGGAGGGGGGTGTTCTAACCTTTAGACACCATTAAGTCCGTTTCCCCTGTCTGCTAAAATTCCACAGTGGTCAGATTCTTAAATTGCTAGGTCTTTTGTGTTTTAAGCTTCTTATGTAGACCAGACTGGCCAGGGCTATTAACCACTGAGCCATCTCTCCAGCCCCATTTTTTAAAGACAGGGTTTCTCTGTGTATGTCTTACTGTCCTAGAACTCACTCTGTACAGCGGGCTGGCCTCGAACTGAGATCCGCCTACCTGTACCTCCTGAATGCGGAGATTAAAGGCATGTGGCCCCATTTTTAGATTATTTATTCCATTTATTTTTATGTGTATCGAGGGAGTGCCTTTGTATGGCATGTGAAAGTCATAGGACAACTTGGGAGAATCAGTTCTCGCCACTATGGATGGGTCCCAGGGTCAAACCCCAGTTGTGAGGCTTGACAGTACGCAACTTCACCCTCTGAGCCATTTTGTCTGGCCCAGTCGCCCAGTGTTGACATCCATTCTGTGATGTGTCATTTGCTTGCTGTTAGCATAGAAGTAGAAAAAAAATTCCTTTTTTTCCCTCAAAAGTCTACTTGAGGGTGACTCATTCTTTCTCAGAGGGACTAGGACTCAAATAAGCGGATGGGGCAGGTTGAGGAAAGTTTTTCCCTTCTTGGGAGCTGCTGAGCATGTACACAGCCATCTCATGCTCATGCTAACATTGCTGTGTGTCCATGTTACATGATTCTCTTGACATTTGCACTTGTCGTGTAAGACCTGGACTGACAAGGCACTCCTGAGGCACACCGTGGTGCTTTTCTGCTGCAGAATCTGTCTGGGCGTCTCCCTTTTTGTCCTTCACTCACCTTGCGCCCAGCAGAGCGCACAGTTTGTCTTCCTGCATTCTTCTAGTTGCCTGGCTAGCGGAAGGACCCGTTGTGGATTGATGTGAAGATGCACTTCTTCCAGTTATCATCTTGGGTCTTAATGATGCTGGGTTCCTCTCTCCTCCAGGTGACCGAGCTGAATGAACCTCTGTCCAACGAGGAACGGAACCTCCTGTCAGTGGCCTACAAGAACGTGGTCGGAGCTCGCCGCTCCTCCTGGAGGGTCATCAGCAGCATCGAACAGAAGACCTCTGCGGACGGCAACGAGAAGAAGATAGAGATGGTTCGAGCCTACCGGGAGAAGATCGAGAAGGAGCTGGAGGCCGTGTGCCAGGATGTGCTGAGCCTGCTGGATAACTACCTGATCAAGAATTGCAGCGAGACCCAGTACGAGAGCAAAGTGTTCTACCTGAAGATGAAAGGGGACTACTACCGCTACCTGGCTGAAGTGGCCACTGGGGAGAAAAGGGCGACTGTGGTGGAGTCATCCGAGAAGGCCTACAGTGAAGCCCACGAGATCAGCAAGGAGCACATGCAGCCTACCCACCCCATCCGGCTGGGCCTGGCCCTCAACTACTCCGTTTTCTACTATGAGATCCAGAACGCCCCGGAGCAAGCATGCCACCTGGCCAAGACCGCCTTTGATGACGCCATCGCCGAGCTCGACACTCTGAATGAGGACTCCTACAAGGACTCCACTCTGATCATGCAGCTGCTCCGAGACAACCTAACGCTCTGGACAAGCGACCAGCAAGATGACGACGGCGGTGAAGGCAACAATTAAGGCCCCGGGTGGACTGGCAGCGCACGCTGATGCTACTACTGCAGTCTTTATTTTTTTCCCATGAGTTGGGGGTCGGGTGGGGGAGGGAAAAGGGAGGGCTGACCTTCCCAGGGAGAAACCCACGACTGTCCTGTCTTTGATCGCCTCTTTGACATTTTTGCCAAAATACCACTAGTGGAAAGTCAGGCTTGCTATGCTGGTATCGGAGCAGCAGCCTCACACAGGCACCCGGACTGTTGTTCAGGCTCGTGCAAGGGGAGCTGTCTGCCTTTAGTTTAACTTATTGCTAGACAGTAGGGTTTAAGATGAGAAGAGAAACCAGAGGTGAGTGGCCCTCATTCAGTGTGTTCTGTGGTTCTGTGGTTCCAGTAAGAATTCTGTCCACACACTCTCGACTTCAGTTCTGTGGCTGTTTTCTCTCTGTTGTGGCTGTGCTGGATTTTTTTGTTTTTTGTTTTTCTTTTCTCTTTCCCCAGAGTGATCTCTACTAGAGAAGGCATAGTTTTAAGTTACCCACGCAGACAGGCTTAGAGTGGAAGACACGACCTTTTTTGATGGGTCAGGCCTGGCCCTGTGTCCAGAAGTCTCTGACGGGTTGACAGTATTAACACTAAATTCTAGTTTACAGTATTTCTACGTGACAGCCATACGCGCGACATCAAGCCATTGGTTCTGAGTTTTCCTTTGTCAGCTCAGCTTTGCACCTGTATCTCGCTGTATCCTGTCAGCTCCTACAGAACTTCCTTTTGGGTTTTGGTTAATGGGTGCTTGGCAGGTAGCTGGCTGCGGGATACTTTTTTTCTTCTTCTTCTTTTTTTCTTTAAGTTAAACCCACCACAAAAAAGGAAAAAAAAAAAAAAAAAAAAAAAAACCTGTTAAGCACCACACACACAGAAAATGGAGAGAATTCAGGTCTGTATGTCATTTCTCATGTTGGTATTTTCAGAGACTCTGCTCTCCAGCAGCCAGGGTTCCCTCAGTCACTGCCTGTCATCTGTTTCTGGGCACTGAGTCTCCCCCACACCTCGTGCTTGGCTGCATGCAGGCGTCTTGAGGCCATTGGGTTGTAGAGGTGGGTGGTCAGCATGAAAGGAGAGCATCAGGTGCAAGCAGCCAGGCTCACTGGGAGGAGACAGCTTCTCTCAAGCCCGTCCGGGGTGAGAGCCTGGCCCCCAAGTCAGTTGCCCCGCCACTCCTGCCACCCGGCACACTTTCCCAAGTGCTTGCCGTAGGGGAGCTGACGTTTGGGGGGTGGGGGAGGCCACGCTCCGCGCCTGTTTGATCCAAGCTTTCCTGTTTTCCCCTTTTGAATGAAAGCATAGATGCTGGGGATTGGCTTCTCTATCGTGAGCTCACTGCACACGGGACAGTGAAGGAAGCTGTGCTGCTATGTCCCACATGGTCCGTCTCACTTAGCCCCAGGTCCCTCTCTCACTGTGGATAAACCTACCCATAAACATGCCTTGTTGCATGCAGAGTGTACAGTTTCTGTCTTGTAGAGGATCCATGGTCCAATGGATTCCCAAGATGGGCAACACCCCAAACTTGCTTTCCTCGTGTTCAAAGACCTGGCAGCCACCTTCTCATACCAAAACCAAGCTCCCACTTGCCGGATGCTGGTGATGTGGCTGCAGAAGAATGACTGTCCCTCTGCACAGTCCTAGCATGCTTTTCCTCAGAGGCCCCTCTTGCTAGTGAGCAAGTACCCACTAACTGAGGCCCACGGAAGAACCGAGGGGAGGAAGCTTGGCCGCCAGCGCCATTGACAGGGGCTCAGTGGGGCTTTGCCTGGTTTGTCTCTGTGTCCGCAGTGAGCATGTCCTTGTCCCGCTTGTCCTGTTTGGAAATGACCTACTGGAATTGCAAAACCTAGTTTCTCTTTAAATTTCAGCCTTGACCCTGGCTGTGTTCTAGAAAAATCATGCGAGAGGGAAGAACTGAAGAGGGAAGGGTGGGAGACCTGATGCTTGAGCTTGGATGGTTTCTTCTCCTTTCCTTTACTGTTGAGAAGCGCAGCTGCCTATGATGCTGTCTCCAGTGCCGCGGTTGCTCCTCCATCCTATTGATACAGTATTGTGCATGCTGGTGTTGTATTTCTATACGGTAGCTTGACATTTATTAACTTATACTGTAGGTGTTATGTATTCCTATGACAAAAAAAAAAAGAAAAATAAGACTTCAAAATTTTTTAAATTTTTTTTTAATTTAATTTTTTTTCCTTTCAGGGGTAAAGTTTTCTTTACCAAATAGTGATTGTAACAAATCTGTTTTGGATGTTGCTATAGTGACATGCAGTTCTATATTTTGTTTTTCGGGGGGAGGGGACAAAAGAAACACCAGTGTTAGCTTACTCTTAATGTCTGGTGTTTGTCATGGTGAAATTATAACTATTACAGTGTAGGAGAACGCCACGGACGTTCTCTGAATGCGCCTCTGTGCTTTCTCGTCATGTTATGCAGTGAACTATTTTTAAGGTCTAATCAAGTGATTTTTTTCCCCCCCAACTCCGTGTTTCGCTAAGGAATTATTTCGCACACGGACCATTCTTAGCAGTTTTCCTCAGTGATGGAATATTCATGAATGTGAGTCATTATGTAGCCGTCGTACATTGAGCAAAATAAACGCACAGATCTGATGTCAGCGCTACCTAGCTTCATTTAATAGGGTTAACTACTTTGTTTTAAAGGTTTGATTGGAAGTGGGCGTCCTCCACCCCCATTCAGGAATGAGGCTGGGTGGTGCTGTGGGAGGCATGACAATAGGTAAAAACTGGGGGCAGGGGCGTAGTTTGCTGGTAGAGCACTTGTCTGGCTGGTGGGTGGATTTAGGTTTGATTTCTCAGCAACACACACACACACATACACACACAGACAAAGCAAGTTGAGTGTGGTGGTTTACACTTGTGTTCCCAGTACTTGGGAGTCTAAGGCAGGAGAACGACAAATCCAGTGCCAGCCTATATTCTACCGTGAATCAGTTGTCTCAAGAACCCAAGAAGTGGTCTGGAGAGATGGCTCAGAGGTTAGGAGCACTGAGTGCTCTTCCGGAAGTCCTGAGTTCAATTCCCAGCAACCACATGGTGGCTCACAACCATCTGTAGTAAGATGGGATGCCCTCTCCTGGCATGCAGGCAGAACACTATTCATACAGTTCAACGGAAAAAAAAAAAAAAAAAGCTAAGTAGCCAAGTGTTCCAGCACCTGCGATGGAGAGGCTAACCCAGTCTAAAGTAGCAAGTTCCCAGGCTAGTGAGACTTTGGGGGATGGTCATGCACAAGAAGTGGGGGTGTGTGTGGTTGGGTGGGTAGAGTATTCCATCACCTCGAAGGGCCCTCAGGAGCAGCTGGGTTCTCTGGACTGCACACAGCATACCTCACTTGTGATGGTACTGCCGAGGCTTCCATATCACAAGTGTTTTAAGAGGGATGGGTGGGCCTGGGTTGAGACTCTGTGGAAGGTGCTAGGTAGGACAAGGCAGTGCCTTTGCTAATACTGAGGGCAGGGCTCTTGGTTTCAGTTTTTGAGATGGTGTCTAGTCCCTGTGTCTGCCACTCAGGCTGTTTAAAATAAAGACCATCCTACTATGGCAGCCACCTGATGAATGCTGGGAGTTCAGTCCAGTACCTTGGCTTTTTTAGAATATACTGACCAGGTTGTGCATAGCATTCTGATGTTGACATAGGGTCTCAAGTACAAAGCCTGGCTGAGCAACCAAAACAGGGAGAGCCTGTCTTTAAAAAACAAAAACAAAACAAAGTAATGAAGAAAACAGGGGACAGACCACCCAAATAGAGCTCCAGCCAAGAACTTTAAAGGTGGGATGCTGGTGGACCTTTCTGCCAGGCAGCCATGTTATGTTAGAGGTGCTGTTCTGCACACTCTATTTATGCGTGATTACCACATGTGTTGGCCTTGACACTGGTCAGCTGAGTGTGTGTTGGCTCACAGGGTGATCTGAGTGGCTGAGAATGACAGCCTAGGCCTCAGAGGAAGCTTGGACAAATGGCTCCTGAAAACTAACCGGGTAACACTGGTCTCTATTTATGGGAGTTGACATTAAGTAACCAGCAGACTTAGAACCCTGAGGTGAGACCGACAGCTTGCCTAGTGATCCTGCTGTCCCTCCCAGTTCTGCTGTGGGAGCCTACTGTTCAATCTGAATGACCACAAATTTGGCCTGTCATAAGCTGGGTATCTGTGAGCATAGCAAGGGCAGCTGGTACATATCACACAAGCAAGACAGGGCCTTCCCAGGTAAAAGCCAGCCAGGGCTAGAGCAGTGGTTCTCAACCTTCCTAATGCTGTGACCCTTTACGACAGTTCTTCAGGTTGCAACCCCTAACCGTGAAATTATTTTCATTGCTACTTCATAACTAATTTTGCTGCAGTTATAAATCATAGTTAGATATTTGATATTTGGGATATCTGATATGCAACCCTGCCAGAAAGGGGTTGAGAACTACTGGACTAGAGTCAGAGGCTCTGACTCAAAAACAAAACAAAACAACCCAAAACCAGCTCTGTGGTAGAGTAGTGACTTTCATCTCAGCCTGGTAGATTTCTGAGTTGGAGGCCAGCTGGGGCTACACAGTAAGATCCTGTTTCAGAAACCCAAACCAACCCCCACCCTCCACACACAAATCAAGTTAATTTGTCTGCGGACAGAGATGGGGTCTTATGTAGCCCATCTGGGCCTTAAGCTCCTAATTCTGCTTCCACCTCCCAGATTCTGAGGTGACAGGTGCTCACCACACCCAGCTCAATGGCTGAAGATTTTCCTTTGGCCTCTGGCCTTTGCCCTGGCCTTACGCAACAGTGTCCACTACCTACGCTGTCAAGGCCCAAACTGCCAGCACCTGGAGAAAGACACCAGGTTTCCGACCTCAGACCTCTAGATGGGGAGGTCTGACTTCGTTCAGTGCTTTATCTCCCATGTGTGCTTGCTTGGCCTGCTGAAGGAAGGCTGCTGGTCTGAAGTTATCCTGCTCCCAAAGACCATGTCAGGAAACTAGCTGCTCTCCATATTCAGAAGGGAGGGACCTCTCAACAGGAAAGTATGTCTGAAAGACACCTTCATTCTGAATGAATCTGCAGCAGGGGGTCTGACTACCATCAGTCACTTCTTTCCCATCGTGATGGACATGACAGGATTGGCTTCTTTTTTTTTGTTAATGGTGTTTTGCCTACATGCATATCTGTGGGAGGGTGCCAGGTTCCCTGGAACTAAAATCACAAGACAGCAGTGAGCTGCCATGTGGGTGCTGGGAATTGAACCAGGGCCCTCTGGAAGAGCCAGGGGTGTTCTGAACCGCTGAGCATCTCTCCAGCCCATCTTTATTCTCAAATTACATATAGCCAGATTTGGGGGGTGGGCAGGAGAGTCTTATGGTTGTCACAGTTTTTAGGTTTAAGCTGTTTTGGGAATTCTGATGATGGAACCCAATGTTTGAGATAATCTAAGAATCGCCCTAGCAATGGGCGATGGTGGTCCACACCTTTAATCCTAGCGATCGGGAGGCAGAGGCAGGTGGATCTCTGAGTTCCAAACCAGCCTGGTCTACAAGAGCTAGTTCCAGGATAGGTTCCAAAGCTACAGAGAAACCCTGTCTCAAGAAAGGAATCTTAAGAATCACTCTAGCAGGCTGGAGAGATGGACCAGAGGTTAGGAGTACTAACTGTTCCTCCAGGGGTCCTGAGTTCAGTTCCTAGCAACCACATGGTGGCTTACAACCACCTATAATAAGATCTGGTGCCCTCTCTGCATTCAGGTATACATACAGGCAGAACACTGGATATGGAGTAAGTCTTGAAAAAAAAAAATACTCTACCATTGAGCTTCACACCCCCACCCTGGCCTAGCAAGTAATCCCTATGCTTGGGAATCACCCACCAAACTATGCTCTAGCCCTGGTTGTTAGTTCTTCGGGTGGGAGAACTGTTTGGGGGCACATGTAGAGTAGTGGCCCAGGTAGAGGCGAGGAGTTTGAGGCCAGCCTGGTCTACAGAGTGAGTTCCAGGTCAGCCAAGGCTATAGAGAGAAGCCCTGTCCTGAAAAAAGAAAGGAAAAAGGGGTTTTGCAACTTTGATTGCTCTAAACACAGCCACCCCTCCTCAGTGCTGAGTTCTCAGTCTGGGAGGCATAAGGGAGGGGTAATGGGCGAGTGAAAAATCCTAACCTGGCCCTAAATCAGGAAACCAGAGTCAAGACAGATTTAGCAGCTAACAGCTGTGTAAACCCATATGAAGGATCCAGCTGGTTCTGACTATAAGTATTTTAGGTCAGTCCTTGAATATCAGACATCCTAAATGTTCAAATTCCCACCATACCACACCCTGCGGCTGGGGCAGGAGCTAGAGGAGCCAGCCATAAAAGACAGGAAGCTCACAACACTGCTCCCCCCACCCCCACACACACCGTCTCCCAAGTGATGGGATTAAAGGCATGATCCAAAGACTAATAGCTTAGTGGTCATGGACAAAATGAAGCTGGGTAAGTACATGGGATGTATGTGCTTAACATACACAGTTCTGCAGTCCATTCTCGGGATGGCACGAACCAGGTGTGGTGGGACACACCTGAAAGCCCAGCACTCGGAGGTCCAAGGATCGGCTCGAGGTTAGGGCTGGAGCTGTGGCCTGGTTGTGAAGAGTGTTCCACTCTTACTCGCCAGGACCCAGCACCCACTGGGCAAGCCAGGCGACAGGTGTTCCACAGGACCATCAACTGGTGCTTCCTGGCTTCCAGCCTAGCTGAGGAAGTTCAAATCCCAGGTTCCGGAAAAGAGCCTGTCTCAGGAATAGGTAGAGCGTGATAGAGAAGGCCCCAACACCCTCTTCTGGTCTCTGCATATGCTTGCGTACACACACCCACAGAAAATCGCAAGGTTATGTTCAAAATTACCCTGGATTACATGAAGCCAATCTCGGAAAAAAAAAAAAAAGATGGGTACAAAAAGCAATAACAGCACTTGGGGTTATCAACAGGAGGATCTGGAGTTCAAGGCCAGCTTCTGTACATTTGAGACTAGGTTGGGCTACCTGAGACTTGGTCTCATAAAACAAAAGCAAGTCCTGCCAGCCTTTGGGAGTACAGCCATTCATCTGTAATCTCTGAAAGAAGAGGTCGGAGAACTGTTGTGAGTTCGAAGCCATGTCGCCGAGGGCTATACAAATAGACCCTCTCTTTCTCTCCATGTACACACGCACGCGCGCGCCAAGAAAGCAACAGCCTGATCCTGAACTATTACTTGGTTACAAAAAAAAAGAATGAGGCTGAATGCAAGGCCCTGGAGTTGGGGGTGCTGGCTGGGATTCAAGTCTGGGACCTGTTCCCCATAACCCTCAGGGGCTCCGGCACCGTCGTTCTCTGCCTCCTCCTGGTGGACACTGCTGGTTCTGCAGCTGTCCCTGTTCGTGTGGGTATCTGCTTCCAGGAGCTTCCAGCTGCCAGCTAACGCCCAGACCCCTGAGGGCAGTAGCGACCTCGAGTCCAGCCAATCTGAGAAGTCCATTTCCGGGTGTCTGATTACCAACCCCCTTAATTACCCAGACTTCAGACGAAGAATTGTGCTGCCTGCGTGTGCGCACAGGAGAGCCAGGCATTGCTACAGTAACCACTACCCCACCGGTGTCTGG